AGTTGCCAGCCGACACTGGCTGGCCGATGGTATACGGAGGAGGCCTAATCTATGTGATCCGCCCGAAGTTGGTCTGGCTGTTGAACGCACAAACGTCAGTCACATGACTACGGGGAAAACCCAGAGGATGTCATTTTGAAACTGAGTGGTAAGTAGCTTAAGGAGAGTCCGTCGTAACTTCGAACGGCTGCTAAGCAACCGTTCGTAAGCCGAGGACCTCCCGTGTCATTCCAGCACCACGGCGTGTAAAACTTACCACTGATTTGAGACACGCAAGAGAAACGCCCTTCAAAAATAACATTCCCTCCTTTGATCTTTCCCTGAAAAAACCAGCCTTATAAAAATGGATATTCCGATTTCTCCCCAAAGGATTTGTTTCCTTCAAACTTGGGTTTTTTCCTCTGCCAGGCTGAGATTTCAAAAGCGCTTAAGAGGAAATCTTGGATCAAAAAACTGGTTTTAAGAGGTAGGAAGCTGAGAAACTGATCTGCGGATTTGCTGGGCACAATATCATGGGTTTTTTTTTTTGCGAACGAAAATAGACTTTTTTTCCGGAGAGTTGGTTCTGCCCCCTGGATTGCAAGGGGGACAATACCGCCTTTCATTCATCCAGAAATCATAATAAATGAGGTCATTGGAGCAAAGCTGCTCCAGACAGCTTAGGAAAGAGATCAGCTGTCAACAGGAAGAAGCAGGGTGATTTAAAAAAAAAATGAAAATATGACACCCCAGTCCTAGCGCGAGGCACCCCCCCCCAAAAAAACTTCATAATTAGGAACAGAATTTCCACCGCTCAGCAAGGCAGTCGTTAAGGGAGTCGCACTAATTTTTGATTCCAAATAACATCTTATCCATTCCAAAAAGACACTTCAAAGATTCAGCTAAAAGTACTTCTGTAAAGGTTACGGCCACAGAGATACCTATTAATGCAGCCTCAAATAAGCGAAAATTAAGGAAAACAGGAAGGATTTTACCGAAGAAGCAGTGACTCCTTAGCTACCTAAAATATAAATTTACACCTGGTTGATAATGACCTCTGCTGGTCAGTTATAATAAAATAAATCCTTCTCTCCCCCCCCCCCCCCAAAAAAAATATCTTCTTTTCCCTGTCCAGGCACTGTCTGTGCCACGGTATTTTCAGATATCATTCCTAATTTTTTTTATCTGCACATTTTAAAAACTAACATGCATCTTCCGGTTGGAAGAATTTCAGAGCTGCCTTGCGAGACCAAACTGAATTTTGCTCCTAACCAATAAAAGGTATTTATGGACACACATCTCATTGGTTGCCCTCATTATGAAGGTAGACTACTTGACACATGGGAGGCTCTTTTGGGCATCGCCAAGGGCCCCCAATTGGTGGGAGTCAAGTTGAGCCCTAGCTGTGATCTTATTTTTATTTTTGTCAATTTTATCGTAATTTCTTTCTCGGGTGGTCGCAAACTACCCACAGTCGTTGAGATATAGGCAAAGTCCCGGTTTAACCAATTATTATCAGCATTATCTTTCAAAATCTTTCATTTATTCATTGTTGGAAGACTTACTGAAATTTCTCTGGGCTGTGAGAGATAACCAGCTCTTCCTTCCTCAGCTGGGGCCTCCATGCTGGCGTTTAGAAACCTGGATGAGCAGAGAGGCAGAGATCTTCTAGCAAGCCAAGGTCCATTTCCCGTCTCAAAAGACTTCAAGCTGCCTGGGCCACCTGCGAGAAAATAAAAACCAGGTGTGTGGAGAGCAGATGTTGCAGGAGAACCACTGCTGGCAGAACAGGTAGGACAGGATTGCCCAACTTGGCAACTTCAAAATGTCTGGACTTCAACTCCCAGAAATCCCCAGGCACCCTCTGTGGAATTCATCTCCCAGAATTCCTGGTCCACCCATGCTGGCTGTAGACTTCTGGAAGTCCACGTATCTTGAGAAGTTGGGGAATTCTGTGGTAGAACATCTGGAAGAGTCAGATACCATCGTCCTTTGCTTATACACAGGCTACTTCGAGAAGGTGATGGGATGCAAGCAGTCCTCGGTTTACAACGTTTAGCGACCGTTGGACGTTACAACGGCATTGGAAAAAGTGACTTATGCCCAGTCCTTATTCTTACAACCATGGCCATGTGATAAAAATTTGGGCACTTGGCAGCCATTGTGTATTTATGAATGGTGCAGCATCCCGTGATCACATGAATAGATGAATGAATGAATGAATGAATGAATGAATATGTGTGTCTGTGTGTAGCCTGTTTCCCCAAAAATAAGAACAGAAAAAAATATGTCCTAGCATGATTTTTCAGGATGCTCAAAATAAACCCCAAAATAAGCCCGTTGTCAGCCAAGTGGGTGCATTTAGTACCGCATTTCCCCCAAAATAAGACCTACCCAGAAAATAATGCATCTTTTGGAGCAAAAATTAATATAAGACCCGGTCTTACTTTCAGGGAAACACATATATATTTTTCCATTTCAATTTAATTTCAATCTCAATTTCAATCAGAATAGAGCTAGAAGGGACCTTGGAAGTCTTCTAGTCCAGCCCTTATATATGCTGGTTGTATTCGGGTCTTCTCCCATGTAAGATTGAAATCGTCTTGGCAACGTTTCGGCGAGGTCTCACTCGCCATCTTCAGGCTGGTGTTTTGGAGACCTCGTCAAAACTTTGCCAAGACAATCTCAATCATACATGGGAAAAGACGCAAATACAACAAGAACAGCATACCTACACCTGTGAAAATCTANGGATTTCACCATTGCCGCCACTTCTTCATGAGACCAACTAAACTCAGGTTACTGACACAAATCACAATGAATGTCGGTCGACCGGCTTATAGGGAATGTTATTTCTAAGAATGTTGCTTAAACTTTTCTTTAAGCAACATTCTTAGGAAAAAAACTTCCCCAATGAGAGGGTCCACTGTTTTAATAATCTTTAAGCACCATCAATCCGAATCCAAACGCCGAGGAGAACTGTTCATTCTCTTATTAACACCAGTTTTCTGCTTCCATTAGAAGCTCCAAACATTAGGACTAAACCTTACTGCAAAGTTTACAGTTCCATCTCCCTCACTGGGAATTATTTAATCCTTTTTTTTTTTTCAATCTCAGCCATTTTAAGATGAGTGGACTTCAACCCCCAGAACTCCCCAGCCAGCAAAAGAATTCTGGGAGTTGAACTCCACATCTCTTAAAAGTTAGTCGAGTTTGAGAAACTTCTGATTCAAATCCCACCAAAACGAATGATTCTTTGCAAAGCCAAACTGCCCGGCCTTTCCACTCCAGACTCCTAACATCCCCCTCTCCCTCCAACTTCTCCCGCACCCCACATCTCCCCCATGCAGCCCCAGAGGATCTGAGCACCTCCTGGGGAACGAACACATCCTTTTACCTCTGTGAAGCTCTCCTGCACGACATCCCGCAGTTTTTCCCGGGCCTGGCAGGCAAGCATTTTTCACGATGCTTTCCCACCCAGAGCATGGAGTTCTTGGCTCACTCTGCCATGGAGAAGACCTTCGTTTCCCTCCTTCCACCGGAGACGAAGATGCACAGCTGACCTCCCAACCTCTCCCGGGGTCTCTGAGGGGCAGCCCCTTACTGCAAAGGGGAACCTGGACCCTGGGTCAAGGCTCGCACTGGGCATGCTCCAAGGACAAACGCCGCTTGGGAGGTGCCTTCCCGGTCTGTTCCCGCAGAACAGCTCCTTCTGCAAGTCCCAGGAACAAGGCAGGAGAAACATCTGCAATATATTTCCAGGATATGCCGGCCTCTCTCTCTCTCTCTCNCCCCCCCATCCCTCCCTCCCTCCCTCCGTGTCTCTCTAACATCTCTCTGTGTGTGTGTGT